TGATGAGGAAAACAAGAAAAAGAGGGAAACTTCACAACGTTGTTGATATCAACAATAAATTGAAAGATCCGGTAACATAAAAACAAAAGACAATAAAGAAAAAAAAGAAAAAAAAGAAAGAAATCAACGATACGGCAACACAAAACGGACACTTAAAAGACAAAAAAAAAACGCCCATTAACAATCAAACATACGAACACACGCAAGGAAGAGACGTTGAAGAAAAAACAAACAAAAAAAAAGAAAGAAAACAAGAAAAAAAAAAACAATCTTGTACTTATGAGAATGACTGAGAGTGTGTCGTTTGTGAATCAGTAAAGGAGGGAGAGAGAAAGAAAGACATATATATATATATATATGGTGAGTAAATAAATGATGGACTGACCAAATGCTCGTGTTGTGGGTGTACATTAAAGTACGGATAGAAGCCATATTAAAATTATAGAGAAAACTTAATGTAAGAACCCCATTCTTATTACCGTTATTCTTCTTACTATTACCATTAGTAGCCTTACAACTCATTCTCAGGGACACTCCTTTCTCTTCTTTTTTCCATCCCTCTCCCTCTTAGAATAATAATAATAATAATAATAATAAGAATAACCCCTTTTCGCATTGGTCTCTACTCCCCCACAGTTCACTCTCTTATCTCCTCTACGTCTCTCCCCTCCTTTCCCCCACCCCCACACAAGAAGTGTTGGGAATACAAAGATGTATATTCCCCGTGAGGAGTGGTTTCGCTCCGTAGAAAAATAAATAAAAAGAAACACAGTCGAACACACAATCAAAAAAAAAGAAAAAAAAACGTACACGAATAGGTATATACATATACCCATTAATAATAATAATAATAAAATCAGCCATTATTAATAATAATAATAATAACAATAATAAGCAGAAGAAGAAAAAATACGAACATAAATTATGTGCCATCATAACCTCTTTCAGAGGAACACCGTTCTTTTCCTCTTTTATGCTTTTTTTTATTGAATTTAGTGCGTGGAAGAAACTCCAAAAACTGTTGTTGCTTTTTCTTTCTTTTCCTTTTCCCTCGCACAATGAGAAACGCACAAAGAATAAAAAGTATATATGTACATATACATACAATCTTTTTTTTTTTTTTGGAACTGCCATGGTAACGCAACAACCACGTGTACATCATACATAAGGTTGTACAACGAAAAAAAAAAACGATACCATTACCCGTATATATATATACGCATCCTTATTTGCCCCAACTCCCTTCGCCCCTTCCCCCCATACATGCACATATATATACATATACATATGGGCCTCTTAAACGGTTGGGTGGGCGGTAATGGGTGCTGGTTCTGTGGAGGATTCACGTCCCTGTGGTGTGTGTTTAATACGCCGCGTCATAAACTCCACCAACTGCATTGTCTTCAGTATAACATACAAAAAGAATGCAACGATGGCGGTAATGGCAGCCGCAACTACAGCATCTATAGCACGATCGTTATCAGGTTTCAGAAGGAGTGCGATCAACCCGCCAAGAATCCACACAGAGATTGCCATCACGATAAGATAATAGATATTATCAATCGGCGACACCAATGGGCGATAGCGAAGCACCAGGAAGAAGAGAAAGATATGACAAATGATAAGCGCCACGTCGGCGGCAATACAACTCCCGGCACTTTTTGGAGGAAACGCTGCAAAAAGCGCTACAAGCATCGGGGCCCACAACCACAGTGTCACCCACGTCACACGGCAGCGGCGAAGGTTAAATAATATTAAGAAGAGACGATCAGAGACATTGTATGGAAGCCAGACACCACGCACACGTAATAGCCAGGTATTAAAGAAACGACGTACAATTGACTTACCAGGTGGCTTAACGGCAACATCTATGGCATTCTCTACAGGCACGTAATGTACTGACGCCTTTATTACTGATAGGAAGAGCACCGCGACGAAGATAATGATGAACACTACAAGCATTACCACACTAAGTGCTAGCGTAGAACCGTCTTTGAATGTAAATCCCTGCAGTGTTGCAAAACTTGTACCAACAAAGAGATTCACTAGTAGTACCAAAGTAATACCTGGATACCAGCACGCAGTGGCCGCTTCTAGCAGAGTTGAGCCACGCAGGCATTTGACTAAAAGAAGTACCACTGTGTGGACCACAAAAACTCCACCACCAAGAATCAAATTGCCTAACATAACACCGTAGAAGGAATCCTCAATGGCGGTCACAGAAAGAGCACGATAGCTAGACAAGATACGACGTGTACCATCTGGTGTACATGGCATCATATTCAACGCCGTCACATAATTGATACCTAGCACGCCAAAAGGCGCGGCAATAAGCGAAATCTTTGAAATAACTTTAGCAGTATCTCCAATACCCTTTGTTCCCGTAGCTGTATCCATTGGGCTCACAGTCACACGCAAGACAAAAGGTAATTCCAGTTGCGCCATTACAGCATTAACCCCCAAAGACTTGGGAGACTGTAATGATTTATTGCTTGCGGAGACCACGGAACCGTCACTTCTACCTTGGACCACCTGATTACTCTCTCCATTATTAATACAACTACTAAGCTGCTCCATGCTTATAGAGAAGACCAACGCCTCAATGAAATTAATATGGTAAGCCTGCAAAGGCTGCTGCTGCAATATGACTGTATCATTCCTCAATCGATACATCTTAAAACGATCCCGAAGTTCAGGCAAAAAATAAACACAACCCAAACGGGCAATTGAACCTTCCGAGCTCTCCTCACACGACAAGGTGACATCCAATGGAATAGCATCGCTAGGCACAACAAAATCGTCTTTCCTAAATACAATAGCAAAGGGCATCTCACCAAACATCAAAACAAATCCACTCCTCACCATATCACCATCAAGACCTGCTTCTACATTCCCACGAAGAGCCCAAGTACAATTATCAGGCTCTTCAGGACCCTCACCACTGCTACTGGATGAACCACCTTCGGCAGAAGACTCATACGACGATGAACTTTTGCTGCTTTCAGATAAGATTTCAGATGAGGAACTACTGCTAGCCTCTGCACTGCTGCTGGCTTCTTGGCTGCTGCTGGCCTCTGCACTGCTGCTGCTTGCTTCTTGGCTGCTGCTGGCCTCTGCACTGCTGGTACTGGCTTCCGCACTGCTGCTTGCCTCTTGGCTGCTGCTGGCCTCTGCACTGCTGCTGCTTGCTTCTTGGCTGCTGCTGGCCTCTGCACTGCTGCTGCTAGCCTCTTGGCTGCTGCTGGCCTCTGCACTGCTGCTNTCTGCACTGCTGCTGCTTGCCTCTGCACTGCTGCTGGCTTCTTGGCTGCTGCTTGCTTCTTGGCTGCTGCTGGCTTCTGCACTGCTGCTGGCTTCTTGGCTGCTGCTGGCCTCTTGGCTGCTGCTGGCTTCCGCACTGCTACTAGCTTCTTTGCTGCTGCTGGCCTCTGCACTGCTGCTTGCTTCTTGGCTGCTGCTGGC